AAAGCAGGAACTTTGATGCCACAGTTGTCTAAAAGGAAAACACTTCAAACAAAAATCTGTTTTAGGAGTGGGGAGCAATGTAAAGGTATCAATTAAAGAAAAGTAGCCTAAAAACCATATTTAAGTTTTCCTAATTAACTTTCTACAAGCCAAGACAAAAATGAATCACAAACTCAAGTTTAACACAAACATTGTTTTAAAAATTGACACGTACATGTAACTGTGTAAGTTTGCATTACGCACATTAGAGTTTTTGTGCTTTTTGTGCTGTACAGTGCGGACTGCATTTTTAGCAGAGCCCAGGGCCACCAAGCAGAGCGGTGAACACTTACGTGTTATTGCAGAGACTTGAAGGCACCAATGTTTAATTTCTCTTAGCCGCGGGTCTTTTGTTTTGTTTTGTTTTTTTGAGTTTATAGAAAACATAACGATATAAACAGAAAACCTGACCACAAAGTTACAAAACTCAAAACAAAATTATGGGGCATTCAACAACCCGCTCCCATAGCTTCGCTTTTAGGATTGGCTAAATCTATATATTTGTATTTTAGGTTCAGTATCTCTGCAATTTCAATGCGCATGCATCACAGATCATCGATATGGCAAATAAGAGAAAATGATACACTGCAGTAGGTTCTTTTTGATGTGATGTAGAGATGATATAAAAACAAATTGTAACACACCCCATGACAGCAAACCATGTGATAGAATCCACCAGTGTGGCCACGTACATGGGTGAAACCATGGCATGGCGAAGATCCAGTAAGCAATGAAGAGTAGAGAGATTGAAGTCTTTGGATAAGCAGTGCCTAATGAATAGGAGACATAATAACATAACATGTTAACATTCCAAGTTTTTCAACCTACCTTTTCTATAATAACCAAAAATAATAAAACAAAAAAATTATAAAATTTGACAGAATTCACATCTCACATTTTCTCTAAGACTCCATACAAAAAATGGATCACTGATGGAAAATTTTCAAACAATCACCTTTGAAAGACTTGAGACCTTTTCAATGTTACATTCTTCACAAATGCTACGTAGTTCTTGTTGTGTCAACTTCTCCAATGATGTCATGTCCAGATGTTTAGATTTAATAACATGATGTAGAAGCATTGGATCACCTACAGTCGCATAAAACATAAAGAAATGTACAACTTAAAAAAAAATTATTCAGACCAGTGTGCATGTCACATTAATTGATCATAATAAGTAGCTTATAGTTCAATTCAAAACTGGGTGAATAGTACATCAATCATTTCGAACTGAAAGTCTATAATGCAATAGAGTTAGCTTATTACATTCATAAAGAAGAAACTGTGTATGTGTACATTGAGAACAAAACTGACATTTTGATAAACTAACACACTCCAAACCTTAGATATAAATCCATAAGAATTGACCGATCAACATTAACAGATAAATAGCTTTTAAGTTTTAAACATTTGATTGCATTACTGTAGTTACCCACAACTAATAAGAAACTAGAATCTCAACTGAATAAGATTAAAGAATATATAACTACCATTAATTTTGTCTTTGTCAAAAAATCTGCCTCCCAAATAAACACTTTTCTTTTCCATCTCAGTGTTGAAAATCTTTCCTCCTCTCATGCCTGGAGCAATAATTGGTGGCACTCTAACAGCCTTAACTGTGTTATCTTGTTTAGAAGACGTAAAGGTGATTTTCTCAACAAAGACTGACTTCAAGGACAATAGAAATGAATCCAATGAGGGAGGCAGTTCTTGACCATTTTTGTCTGATTCTTGGCAATAGTCAATCTGAGGAAAATAAAAAATATTGAATACCCTTTATAGCTGTAGCATTGGCCAACCTGTAAAAATATACTAGACCACCCAATCCAGCAATAATCATTGGGGTACGACAATAAAGATTTGCCACATGATTATGCTCCCCAGTTTGAGTGTTCATGTTCTTTCATTACATTTGACCACTCTATGAACAGGAAGCTGATTGATTTCAGGAGTTCAAATAACTATACAGTCCTGTATAAATTGGTAAGTAGTCAGGGATATGCAAATCCCAGTGGTGGATCCAGAGGAGGCACCCAAACTAGTAACTGGCCCAGACTCAAAAATGGCTTTTACAATTTTAAAATAAAGAAAAAAGAAAAAACACAAGGTAATGAAAAGAAATGAAAATTGTGTTTCAACTGATCTCACGGGAAAGGTTAGAGTTGAAAAGGAGAAAATCATTATAATCCAAGAAAAAGAAAGTCCCTTCTTTTGATAACAGGTCTTTGCAACAAACAATCACATGTACAAAATCGGCCATGCTTGGAGGATAAAACAGTTTGACCGCCTCTGAAACAAAGCAATTTCAACCAGTCAAGCTTGACTTGTCTTTGTTTTGGATTCCCCAAAGCAAGAAAAATAATAAGCCTGCCCTCCAGTATGGCGGTTTGCATTTAACAGCAACACTATCAAACTTGAAGGACACCTTTGTTCATCCACTGCACCCGAAACAAATGCTATAGTGTAAAGCTTAGTTGAAAAAAATTACGATATTGGATATTACTTCAGCTTATTTATGCTACAGCAGTTCTTTTCATTACCATCACCAAAATAAACCTGACCAACAACACCACAAATTCCACAGATTACATCATCCATATTTCGTTCAGAAATCAATTCAAATGCATAGAAACCATTGTACAGCAATCCTGTGATGTACTTCTGCTCATTATCGGTAAGCTCCATCTGAAAGAAAACAAAGTAAAATAAAATTTAAAAGTTGACGAAACTTTACATTTATGGATCCCAATTTGGCTGGTGATATGAGATGAAAACCCTCCACTTTTCACTGAAATAGACGAAAGTATTCTTGTTATAAGTGTCCTGCCCATTCAAAGAAATATTACATACTCTACGATGTCATCACACAATATTTCTAAACTGCAGCTGGCAATAAATGAAAATGAAAACATAGAGAATGAACATTGTACTGATCTGCAATAATGCAAGACAAATATCGAGGACATAAAAAAATCTAGATTCAAAATTTACATTACAGTGCTTAAGCCTTATATGTTGCAATACCAAGCCACACTTTTTCCAGCTTTCGAGACTACTTTCAATAGCAACTGTGAGAGGAACACCACGTTTAAACAATTCCCTCTAGTGGACAAGGATCTCTAAGGCAACCAGCAGCTTATCACAGATATTGAATGGACCTATAACCAAGAAAAACAACAAATATGCATATGCCGACTACTGCATTAGTTTC